GCAAGACCTGTCTTGGACTGTGTTTCTGGCGTCTAAACCTTCTGTTTTACTGGCTGGCTGAGAGTCCCGGTGAATCGCAGGAAGCCGGGGGTGCAGGGCCTGGTCTCCCCCCACACTCCGTGACAGAGCCCAACCGCCCAGCTGGGCAGGCAGCAGAACAGGGGGGCCGGGACTGCTCATAACTCATCACACCTCCGGGATGCGGTTCCTCGGGGGGAGGGGGGCGGCCCCATCGCCCTGAGAGCCAGGGGCTCTGTCCACAGACACCACTGCCCAGCCCACCCCAGGGCCCTGAGGCTGGGACGCGGTTCCCACACGCTCGCTGAACTGACTCTGCCTTCCTGTAGGGCTGCTAAGGGCCAGCCTTTGCCAACGGGCAGCTGGGGACAGCTGGCTTCAGAGGGCACCAATCACCGAGCCTGCCAGGAAAAAAGAAGGGTGCTGACAAGGGCCTGGAGAGGGGTCACTGCAGAGTTCATCCTGCAGCCTGAGATGCCAGTTTCCATTGGCAGGCGCTTGGGGCAGCACCAAGGGGGAGAAGAAAACTGTTTGTGACTCGCACTATTTAATCCACAGGTGCTGCTCTGGCTCCACTCAATCGGAGTGGCCGTGCCAGCCGGCTCCAGCCCAGCCTGCCCCTCAGTGCCAGCCAGGACCTGCCTCTGGTGAGCCGAGCTGCGCCTCTGGTCCCCACCCCCCAGCTGGCCATGATGCAGGTGAGGCCTCCCTGGAGCTGACAGCACAGGCCTGGCTCGCCTCTGCTTGTGCCCGGGGAACTCAGGCTCCAGGGCCATCCCCACTGGCCGACCCGTCCAAGCAAGAGCTGAACGTGCCCTCGGGCTCAGCTCCATGTTCTGCTCCCTTCCCCACCCCTTGGTGCCTGGCCATGTATCAGGGTCTGAAACATGTTCCAGACACACCTTCATTTCGTGCTGCAGCATGGGCACAGGCTGCCACGCCTGGGATTTCCCAGGTGCGGGCTCGCGTGGGGGCAGGGAATCCGTGGGGCAGGAAAGCCAGGGCTGGTCTTGCAAGCAGCTACCCAGATCCTTTGGCTTTGCTGTAGCCGAGAGGCGGCAATGGAGAGGGGATTCCCTTGCTGCTGCCCCAGACCCCTCCCAATCCTGGCTTCATGCTGGCAGCAGGAGAGTGTGAACAGCCCCCCCGAGCCAGCACCATCCCCGGGGCTTGGCACAGAGCGATCGGGGAGCTGGGAGTTCCCAGGTGTGCCCTGCCAGCGACAGCTGAGAGGGGCAGGCAGACAGGGCCAAGGCGGCTATGCCCTGTTTGCAGGGGCCCGTGAGCTGGAGGGAGACTAGGGGGCAGAGCTCACCCCAGCTGAGGAGTCTCTTCTGCCCCTGAGCCCCCTGAACCCAGCTCAGCCTGGCTGCGGTGATGCCCCGGCACCATCCCAGGGCCCTGGCTGCCCCGAGCACAGAGCCAGCATCATGGGAGGCAGCATAGCCGGGGCCTGGTGTTCACTGCTGCACTCAGAGCTGGGCAGAGGGCGAGATGCCCGCGCTCTGTCTGCACTACAGTGGCACCGCCCTGGTGCCAGGGCCACGTGTCTGACCTCGGCCACATCGCTCGGGCCTTGAGCTCTTGGAATCTGGGCTGGATCCATCTGGGCTCAAGGAGCGGGTCCCTTGGGCTCACCTGGCTGGGGCCTTTCATTGCTACTGTGATACAATTCGATTGCAGGCCTCGCTGTGTCTGTCCGGCCCCCAGCACAGTGGGGCTTGGATCTGGGCTGTGCCATGGCCTGGGTCTGGCTGCGTAGCTGAGCTGGGCTCCAGCAGGCAGAACGGGCCTTCCCCTGCCTCGGGGGATCACTGGGGCCTGGCTAGGAGGGGATGGGGCACCGGGAGTGACCTGTGCAGAACCTGACAAGCCGAGAGTTCCCACAGCAGCACCCAGCGCTCTCCTCTTCCGGCTGGACCGCGGAGGTGCAATGCCCATGGCAGCCCCTCTCCAGGGGCCGGTCTGTGCGAGCTGCCCCCCTGCCCCCCCACAAAGTCTGGGGCTCCTTTCCAGGGGGATCTTTGCCTAGGGAGGCTCTGGCTGCCCCTATTTACGGGAGCCCTAACTTGACAACGTGCAGCTTGCCGGGGTGAGGCCAGGACCGAGCATGCTCAGTGGTGTTCAGACGCAGCCCCTGCCCCAAACAGCTGCTCCGTGGGCCCTGCCCTGCGCCCTCCCGGAGGAGCCCAGGGGAGTTTGCCGGATGATGGTCGAAGCACCAGATGCGGAGCAGGCAGGTTGCCCTGCGGCAGGCAATGGTACGGGAAGGGCCGGGGGGATGTACAGTGGGCTGTGTTTTGGGAGAGGCCTGACATTCTGGGCAGGATGCAGGCGATGCTGGGCGAGGTCAGACGGGGTGATCACACAGCCGCCGTGGATCAGAGACCCTGCTCGGACCTGCCACTGGTGCTACCCGGCTTAGCGCCATGGGCTGCCTGGAGCCCTCCAGCTGGGCCCTGCGCAGGGCTCTCGTGGGCACCGGGGCAGGGTATTTTTCTCCCTCAGAATAAGCCGACCTCCAGCCCAGGCAGCTCCTACCAACCAAACCCTCATTTTACTGCTGCCCCATCCAACCATGTCACAGAAAATGCGGAGAGACCTCGTGCATCTTGGAGAATTTTTCCTTCAGAGGAAAAGCCGCCGCAACGTTCCAAAGCCATGTTACCAAGCGGGGCGGAAAAATCCCCCTTGCTACTTCTACACTCGCCTGGTCCGTTCTGGGCCCGGGGAAATGGCCAGCACACACTTCTTCAACTGAGATCTCCGCCTCCCCGAGCTGCTGCTAAAAACGACCCTGAATTACAAGCAGGAGATTCCCCCACAGGCTGCTCCGATCAGGAAAGAGGAGAAAACAGGAGCTCACACGTGGCGTCTCCATTTCCATGCAAATCACAATTAGGCCAGGATCTTTCCACAGCTGCCTGCTACAATACAGACGGGTGTGGCACCAGCCAACCAAGGTAAAGAAAAGCCTTGCAGCCATAGCAAATATCCCAGCCGGAAGAAGATGCGTCAGAGGCGGTTGTACGTCTCAGTGTAAAAACAACTAAGGACCTGATCCTGCAAGGTACTGCGCGCTCTTGACTCCCAGTACCTGGGCACCAGCAGGATCTGCAAACCGAGGCATCGTCACACACTTCATACAACTTCAGCCACAGGGCGTTGTGCCCTGGCACAGAGCGGGCAGGCAAAGGAGGGAGTTGGGATGCCCGAATGCAGAACTGCCTGGAGTTTGCCATTTTCCCCACAACACCATACTGCTGTTGTAACAGAGACAGCGTTGTGCTGCTGGGGGCGGGGGGTTAATTAGTTGAATAACAGGGACAAAGAACCCCCCCCCTAAGCTGGTAAATTCGTATTTCGACACTGTGGAAACCCAGCTGAATTATGTGCTGGGCCAGCGGCCCCAGGAGCTCTTACTCGCTGCCCGGTGTAAACATTTTCACCAGAGCGTGCCCAGGGCAATCCGTGCCAGAACACAGTCCTGACCGCACACTGCCCGTTTCCCAAGGTCCATGTCCTTGCTCTTAGCAGGCGTTGTTTTCACCACAGCAGAGGCAACTGCCCCTCCAGCTACTCCAGATTCATTGTGAGGCAAAACATATATCAAGTGTCTATAACAAACCAGGTTGGAAAGGAAAGGAGGACGAGGGGCCCGTGGCCTACCACTCCTCTCCTCCCAGCACCCCGAGCTTTCAATGAGTTGTTAACACCCACGCTGGGAGTTTCAACCCAGTCCAAGGGAATTAGGTGACCAGCTTCCACTGAAATTCACTGGGCTTTGGGTGTGGATTCCTGTAGGCAGGGCCGGCTCCAGCATTTCTGCCGCCCCAAGCAAAAAAAAAAAAAAGCCGCGATCGCAATTGCGACTGGCGGCGGCAATTGAGAAAAAAAATAAAAAAAAGCCGCGATCGGCGGTGGCAGTTCGGCGGTAGGTCCTTTGCTCCTAGAGGGAGTGAGGGACCTGCCGCCCCCGAATTGCCGCACGTGCCGCCCCTCTCCCTTGGCCATCCCAAGCACCTGCTTGTTAAGCTGGTGCCTGGAGCCGGCCCTGCCTGTAGGCCCAGGCAAATCGCAGCCTCAGGTGCGAGGTGATCCTTGGGAGCCTGTGAAGGGGACTCTGAGGCCAGAGGGAGTGTATGTGCCATGGGATCTTGCTATGCCAGCCGCCTGACTTGGGAACTGCTCCGGTCCCATGGTGACGGGCGCTGGCACAAAGCCCTTAGGCAGTCACCAAGCTCCCAAACCCAGGGGGCGTTTGGATGGGAGAAGGTGGCAGAGTATCTCCCACGGTGGCCACCATCCCCCATGGGCCATAAGCCAGGTGCTGGGCTCCTGATAGAGGTGAACCAATTGGTCCAAGCTGGCCCTGCTCTGCGCCCCTTTCCTTAGGCCTCGAGTACCCCGGCCCCGGGATGTACCTCTCTACAAATACTCGACACCCCAGGGTGCGAAAAGCCAGTGCCCCGGGACGCCCACCCTGCAGTGCTTTGCCCGGTGCTTCGGGATTTCTGTCGGCTGCTTTCGACACTGGCTCTGGCCACGGCGCGACAGCCAGTGCCTGGATCCCCTGGCCCTGGTGAGGGGCCCCTGGACAGTTTCTGGGGAGAAGGGCTTTTTTTTGGGGGGGGGGGTCAAATCATACAGCAGGATCCCCAACCCTCTCCTCACCTCCCTTCTGGCACCACTGCGCTGTTACCTACCCCAAGTCCTAGCGGGCGGAGGCAAAGACCCCGCTCCCCCTCCCCCAGACCCACCGCAATGGGAGGCTCCCTGCACCGCCCGGCAAGGGCCCTGCTGGCTGGAGCCGGGGAGCGGGGAAGCCCTGCCATGCAGACACGTTCCCGGGGATGCTGCTGGGGGGGGGGTTTCTATTGCATCAGCCCCCACCCCCGCGGCCCCAGCAATAGCCCCGTTGCCCCCCAGCACCGTCCCGGGATGAGCCGGGGGGGGGGTCGGTGCGCGCCGGCCGGACCCACCTGCTGGGAGCTGAGCTCCCGGTCCAGCTCGCGGGCGCGGTTGTGCCAGACCAGGCGGTGCAGCGGGTACCTGCCCTCCGGCCCCTTCCCGGCAGAGGCGGCGGCGATCATCCTGTCGGCACGCCGGCTCCGGCGGCGCAGGGGCGGGGGGCTGGGCGCAGGGCTGCCGGCGGCGCGGGGAGGAGGCTGGGGTTGCGGAGGCATGTGGCTGGGAGGGGATCTCCGGCGCGGCGGGCCCGGCTCCGGGGCTCCCCGAGAGGGGGGCGCTCCAGCGCCGAGCGCCGGGCCCCAGGCAGCGCTGCGCGCTCCGCCCGCGCACACAAAGGGAAGCGCCCGGCCGAGGCGCGCAGCGCAGCGCTCACCCGGAGCGCACGGCGCGCAGGCGGCGGCAGGAAGCGGCGCTGGCTGCCCAAGGGCCTCGAGCCCCAGCGGGCCCCGAGGCACCGGCATGGACCCCGCCCTGCCCTGCTCCGCTCCGGGACCAGCCCCGCCGGCTGGAGAGCTCCGTGCAGCGGCCTGGCGGCGGGGCCTGATGGGAGCTGTAGTTCCCCGGGCCGGGCCGGGCTCTCTGTCCCCCGGCGCTCCGGGAACTGGGCAGCCCGGGCCCCAAGCTCATCTTCCTTCCACCTCGGCCACGGGCTGCCCTGGCTTCCCTTCCCGGCTTTGCCCCCGGCCCCATCCCGTGCCCATGGCCTGCCCTGGCTCCCCCCGCTGGGCCTGCAGTGACCCTGCTCGCCCCGCCCTTGCCAACATCACCTCAGGGCTCTGGTGGCAGCCAGGTGCCCCGTCTCAGAGCTGGGGCACCGGGCACTGGGCACTGGTCCTAGCCTAGGGGCCCATGTCATGCCCTGCTCCTCCTGCGAGACACAGCGCCTGACCAGCTACCGGAGGGCCTGGGCTTTCATCTGAGCTAGCAGCCCACATTTGGCCCCCAGGACCTCTCTCCTTCCTCTTGCTATGTCACTGGTACCCCCATGTACCACGACCACTGGCTCCTCCCCGGCACTGCACATAAATCTGTCTGGTGGGCTTCTCCAGACATCAAGACAGAATTATGTGCAGTGCTGGGAGAAGCCGCTGGTTGCGGTATGTGTAGGTAGGAGAGGGGTCCTGGTGGCCAAATTTAGGCTGCTAGATTAAGAGATTGAAGTCCAGGACCTCCGTGGCAGCATTCCCTGAAATGCTCCCATCCACACGCAGGGCCAGACAGACAGGCAGACCTGCAGGGTCTCCATGCGTGGAGGAGACAATGGTGTAGGGAGGAGAGGTTTAGATGCATTAGGAACTGGGGAACCTTTGGGGAAGGAGGAGCCCTATACGGGGAGGATGGGCTCCACCTAAACCAAAACAGAACCAGATTGCTGGCCTGGAACATTTAAAAGGTTGCAGAGGTATTTTTAAACTAAGGGCTGGGGGAAAGCGGATAGGTGCAGAGAAGCACATGGTTCGGCCACACATCCATTAAGGGAGGATTTATTAAAGGGGATACTCTGCATCCTCATAAAGAGGGGAGATGGAAGTATAAAATAGAGGTGGGAACTGAAGAAAAAACAGTCAAAAAAAAAGTCCCATTCGATTACATCACATGAAGGCAGACAACTAAATATTAACACATTTGAGAAGTGCTTGTATACAAATGCTAGACGTCTAAATACTAAGATGGGTGGATTTGAGGGCCTGGTATTAAATGAGATACTGAAATAACAGTCAGAACAGAAACTTGGTGGAATGACAATAATCAATGGGAGATGGTAATGCCAGGGTAGAAAATATACTGGAGTGACAGAGTAGGTCACATTGATGGGGAAATGGAAGTGAATTCCTACTGAGGAAAGGAGAAAGGAGTGTGAACTCTGGCAAGCCAAATGTAAACGTATAAACAGGCAAACCAAAGAATTTGAGGAGCAACTAGCAAAAGACACAAAAACTAACAGAATTTTTTTTTAAATATATCAGAAGCAGGAAACCTGCCAAACAGTCAGTGGGGCCACTGGACGATCAAGGTGCTAAAAGGAGCAGTCAAGGAAGACAAGGTTGTTGTGGAGAAGCTAAATGATTTTTTTGCATCCGTCTTCACTGTAGATGATGTGAGAGAGACTCTCACACCTGAGCCATTCTTTTTAGGTGACAAATCTGAGGAGCTGTCCCAGATTGAGGTGTCATTAGAGAAGGTTTTGGAAAAAAATTATCAATTAAACAGTAATAAGTCACCAGGACCAGGTGATATCTCCCAAGAGTTCTGAAGGAACTCGGATATGGAATAGCAGAACTACTGACTGTGGTATGTAACCTATCGCTTAAATCAGCTTCTATACCAGATGACTGGCAAATAGGTAATGTAACACTGATATCTTAAAAAGGCTCCAGAGGTGATCCTGGCAATTACAGGCCGGTAAGCCTGACTTCAGTACCAGGCAAACTGGTTGAAACTATAGTCAAGAACAAAATTGTCAGACACATACATTAACATAATTTGTTGGGGAAGAGTCAATATGGTTTGTGTAAAGGGAAATCATGCCTCACCAATCTACTAGAATTCTTTGAGGGGGGTCAACAAGCATGTGGACAAGGGGGATCCAGTGGATATCGTGTACTTAGATTTTCAGAAAGCCTTTTACAAAGTTCCTCACCAAAGGTTCTTAAATTAACTAAGCAATCATGGGATAAGAGGGAAGGTCCTCGCATGGATCAGTAACTGGTTAAAAGATAGGAAACAAATGGTGGGAATAAATGCTCAGTTTTCACAGAGGAGAGAGGTAAATAGCGGGGTCCCTACAAAATCTGTACTGGACCAATGCTATTCAACATATTCATTAGTGATCTGCAAAAGGGGTTGAACAGTGATGTGGCAAAATTTGCAGTCAATATAAAATTACTCAGGATGATTAAGTCCAATCAGTTACTCTTTTGCTACAAAGAGCTACAAATGGATCTCACAAAACTGGATGACTGGGCAACAAAACGGCAGATGAAATTCAGTGTTGATAAATGCAAAGTAATGCACATTGGAAAACATCATCTCAACTACACTTACAAAATGATGAGGTCTAAATGAGCTGTTACCACTCAAGACAGGGATCTTGGAGTCGCGGATAGTTCTCTGAAAGTATCTGCTCAATGTGCAGAGGCAGTCAAAAAAGCGAACAGAGTTAGGAACCATTAGGAAAGGGATAGATAATAAGATGGAAAATATCATAATGCCACTATATAAATCCATAGTACATGCCCACAGCTGTAATACTGTGTGCAGATCTGGTAACCCCATCTCAAAGAAAGATATATTGGAATTGGAAAAAGTACAGAGAAGGGCAAAAGAAATGGGTAGTGGTATGGAACAGCTTCCGTATGAGGAGAGATTGAAAAGACTGGGACTGTTCAGATTAGAAAAGAGACAACTAAGGAGGATACAACAGAGATCTATAAAATCATGACTGGTGTGGAGGAAGTGAATAGGGAAGTGTTATTTACTCCTTCTCATAACACAAGAACCAGAGGTCACCCAATGAAATTAATAGGCAGCAGGTTTAACACAAACATAAGGAAATACTTCTTCACGCAACGCACAGTCAACCTGTGGAACTCATTGCCAGGGGATGTTGTGAAGGCAAAAGTATACCAGGGTTCAAAACTAAATTAGATAAGTTCATGGAGGATAGGTCCATCAATGGCCATTAGCCAAGATGGTCAGGGACACAACCCCACACTCTGGGTGTCTGACTGCCAGAACCTGGGACTGGATGACGGGCTGGATCACTCGATAGCTGCCCTGTTCTGTTCATTCCCTCAGCAGAATCCAGCAGTGGCCACTGTCAGAAGACAGGACACTGGGCTAGCTGACCCATTGGTCTGACACAGTCTGGACGTTCTTATGACAAAGCCCTGGGGGGCCACGCCCCTTGTTCCTGCAGGCGAGTGCCCCTGTGATGAGATTCCTCTCTGCAGTGTGAACACCGCTCCTGTGATCTGCCCACGTTTCTGGTGCAACTGGGACAGCAAAGGGCTACGGAGGCATCTGCAGAAGCGGCAGATAGGGACAGTGTCATGGACTGGGCCAGGCCAGAGGTGCAGAAGGGGCTGCGGGACACCCTTATCTGGCTCTCCTGCAGGTGGCAGCATGCTTTCCCCTGTGCTTGGAGTGACCTTCCAAACTTCAGCCCTCAACCCACACCCCCAGGTTCAGTCCCTCCTAGTGAGGGCCCAGCTCATGGTGCTCCCTCCGGCCCCCTTGCTCCACCCTTGTTTTCCTGCCCAGTGTGCAAGCGCTCCAGGGCCAGGGCTGCAGCTGTGTATGTGCAGAGCCCAGCATAACGGGGGTGCTACTCAGAGAGCCACAATGTGACATTCAGCCGTCCAAGGACAGCCCCTGCACGCCCAGCTGGGGGTGGCATTTTTCACCCTGCTACGTAATTTTCCTTTGCATCGTTCAGCAGCTGCCATGCTCCACCCCAGAAGTGGCAGGGTGAGGTGGCATTTTACATACATACATGTGGGGGGTGATATAGACGCCCATCAAATCTGGAGTGCTGCAAAAATGTCCTGGTTTATTGTCTTAGCCTCGGTGCCCAGGCTACAACCCGCCCTTCCCCGTGGGGATGGGATAATGGAGCAGCTAACGGCGGTTCACACACTTGTCGTTGTCGTCGTCCCCCCCCCGGTGAATGCCCCGTGTCACTGGCTTCCCCACGTGCAGCCAGCGTGCTGCCGGAGCCCTTGGCACCACGGGGCTGGAGAGCTGCACGAGCAGGGGCATGACATCGCTCTGCAGGGAGGGGAGCTCAGCCTGGCTTGGAATCCGCTGGAGCTTTGAGTTGTTTCAACTCTGAACGTGCCGAGATTTCACTCGTGTTCTGTGTGTTCTAGAGTCCTGACTTTTCCGGGCAGAAGGCGCCATTACGATCCTGTAGCTAAGCCCGGCCACAGACTCTCAGCCAGTGACTCCCCGAGCTGCTGGTTCCGACAGATTTGCCTCCAAGCACCAGCTGAGCTCAGGGCCCCGTTGTGCTGGGCGCGGAACATGCCCCACAGAGCTGTACTCGGCAGACGGGGGGAGGGGAAGGGACTTGCCCAGGGTTACCCAGCAGGACAGTGGCGAAGCTGGGAATGACACAAGGCCAGTGCCCTGCGCTCTGGCCCGGTACAGATCTCCATGACGGTGTGCCTGGGCTGCGTGTTGTTCCAGCCGTGAGCAAGATTTTATCACAGACACCTCCCCAAGGCGGTGTCGGAGCGCCCCGCCTGACGATCTCCGGTAGCAGGGGCTCAGGGCCTTGCCCACCAGGCATGGGCTGGCACCGAAAGGAGCAACCCCTCTTTCTAAAGACTAGGGAATGGACGTCTAAGGACCAGAGCTCTGCTGTGAGCATGCCACGGGCAAGGGGCTGGGAGCCAGCCACAAGGGGTGGGTTCCCCCAGAGTCGAGCCAGTGCCTGTATTGACCAGGGAACACTCCCCCCTGCAGAGCCCAGACGCTGCTGGGTGGGACTCCAGCTCTGGCAGTCC